TATATATATATTGCTGTCACAGAGCTCAGCGTTTGAGCAAAATGTTAGCATTTTGACTTGTAAAAATCCACCATAGTAAAACAGTGACCTAGATAGCAGCTCTCTGCTCCACACAGAGGCTGTGGTAGCTCGGTGGTCTGTGGTTGTCAGGAACAGGAAGAACAACCGGTGTAAAAACATTTGCCAAGTGTTAGTGTGAGATAATTCCCTGTGGCGACTCCTGAACAAGGGAGCAGCCAAGGGGGGGGAGTAAAAGGGAGCACTGTTAGTCAACAACTATTCTCTGCACAACTTTACTGTGAACTTGAGATCTGCGCCAAGTTTAGTTAGATGAATATAGTGTAACTGGCACTGCATATCATAGTGACCACTGTGGGTCCAGCCAACTCTAAAAATGTGGTTTAATCCTGCTGACAGCTGGACAGAGAAACTGAGACTCCAGGTGCTAATTTAACTCAACCATTGGACAGAAGTGTGAATTCAGAACAAAAATAATTGCAACAATTTACTAAAACATTGTGTGATTTTCCCTGGAATCTGGAGCTAAACATTCGGAAACAGTAAAATAAAAAATTCAACAGGAAGGCGAAAATAAAACATTTCTAGCAGAAAAACTTGGTTGTTGACATGGAAAAGTATTTTTATTCTACGTACAACACCATGTAATCCAATCCTAGGCTCTCTGGATAAGACACCCCCACCACCTCTAATCCATTTTGCTTTGTGTGCGGTTAAAGTGGATTAATTCACAATAACAGTCTGAGATCCTTTCCCATCCATGATTGTGTAACATTTGTCCCACTCCGTGTTGTTTCAGCTCCACATCTGTCCATGTTTTCTTTTATTTACTCTCATTGTTTCGGGATAAACAAAGGTTTGGTTCTGGTTTTTATAAAAAATACTTTTGATTATGTGGAAATTCATTCAGTCTAACCATCTTTTAAAAGAGTTCAAACACAATGAGCTAGAAACAGCATGAGCTAGAAAATTTATCAGCATTTATGTTTTTGTTAGATCAGAAGTTAACGAACAAACTGGGCAGATGGTGAAACTTGCAGTGTCTTAATTTTAATCCACAGAGCTCAAACTATTTATTCAAACCAGGAAAGTGTCTTTCTGACATGATCTCTGTGCGTGTCGTGATCAGGAGGAAAATTATATTAAAGTTGTGGATTTTTGGTAAAACCCCAATAAGTTGTGATAATGTGTAAACCATAAATAAAACAATGCAATAATTTGCTAATCTCATAAAAACTAATTTATTCACAAAGCACCATATTGAAACAAAGAAGTTTAAACATTTTCTGGGGAAAAAATTGGTCAGTTTTGAATTTTATGGCAGTAACATTTCAAAAAAGTTGGGACAGGGCCATGTTTTTCACTCTGAAGAATCCCGTCTCCTTTTAGTCTGTAAACATCTTGGGAACTGAGGAGACCAGATGAGGAATTTGAGGAAATGTGTCTGACTAAGGTTTATAGGAGTTTAACAGTTTGGGGTCTTCTTTTGTGGATGGTGCAAAGTGTTCTAAAACAAGCATATTTTTTTGTTTGTTTTTTTTGCATTAATGGTGCATATAAACATGTTAACTACCAAAGTCAGAGGCACTAATGCACCCTCATACCATCAGAGAGGCAGGCTTTTGAACTGTGCGCTGATAACAGATGGTCCCTCTCCTCTTTATTAAAGAGGATCTGACCACAGATCAGTCCATCACTTAGCATCAGTCTATTTTAAATTAGCTTTGGCACAAAATAAGACTTTTCTGAATTGGTGTTATAATTTACAGTTATGCAAACAGGAGCTCAGGGGAATACTTAGCAAAATGCAATGATTGTAGGTAGGAATGCATGATATATACAGTACACAGTACAGTGTTTCCCCTAGATAACTTGCCATGGCGGGGCGCTCATCTCGTCCGTGATTTTTGTTTGGGGGGGACGGAGATTTGTTCTAAGCTGCGCAGCGCACAGAGACAGCGGCGTGCTGTTTGTACTGACAGTTTTAGAGCAGGGTGTGTGTGACAGAAGAGAGACAGACGCACAGCTCAGCCGTGCGCTGTTTGTACCGACAGTTTTCGAGTGGCGGGGGTGCGTTCAGCGTGAGGGTTCAGCATGAAGGAAGAGGATGCCTTTAGCTTTTTAGCTAGTGCACCTGCATAGCGAGCTGCTAGTTTAGCGTTACGTCAGTGCCGACAGGTGGTTGGGATTGGGAGTGGGAGGTGGGGTTCGGTAGACGGGGCGCTCGGTTCTGTTGACGGGGCGGGGCGCCCCGCTTGTATAATGGTAGGGGAAACACTGACAGTAGAAACGATAGACATTTAGCCTATGATATAGATCTGTCTTCTACCGGCTAACCGCGGTAATGCTGTGTCTGATGTAAAATCAGAGTTGTCAGATTTAATAGTTACTTTTTTTTAGTTGAAAACTGTGCGTAAGTGGTGTTAAAGTCCTTTCTTCGGGAGCTAAGTAGCGAAGCTACAAGCTAACTACGGCCGGCTTGTCGTACTCGTATTCGGACACATGCGCAAAAACAGTGTTCTGTCAAAAGTTGTATTTTTTATTTTTTCCGTCGAAAGTTCGTTGGTCAGCTTTAGAGAGTGCATTTGAGCTAAAAAAAAAGGGGGGGAGGGGGGGTAAACCTGCTCTCTGATCTGTAAAAGAACGCAGTGTTGTGTGATTTTACTACGAGACCCTCTCTGATCAAAGCTACAGAGGAAACTGGTCGCCATTTTGTGTCAGCTCTCCTTAAAGTGGAAGGAGACGCCCACTAGAGGTTTGGAGGGTGAAGTGTTTTCAGTGCAACATGCTGCTCTGTTGCTGTTCATTTCTTAAGTGACAATACTGGAAACTATTGAGTTAACAAATTATTATTTTGTTTAAAACATATGGCTAAAACTACATTTGATAACTTTTGCACTATAAGAAAGAAGCCTAATACTTGATTTGTTAATTATTTAAAAACTCTCCGGACATAGTGGAATTTTCTTAATTGAGATTATTTTGTGGTATAACAGTTTTCAAAATAAATGCTGGCAAAAGGACACCCTGTGCTTTCTTTTTCATTCTTATTGCAAGTTTTATATCCAAAACATATCATGATATACATCGTTATCGCCGCCCATCACAATAGATATTGTGATATGATTTTTATGCCATATCACACATCCCTAATTGTAGGTCTTTATGCATCAGAAATATGCTTAAGTACACACATAAATATTAACATTGTTCTAATAAAAAAATTAATGAATAAAAGCATCAAAAATTGCCCACTGTTTCAACTGAGCCACAGTGAACTCAGATTCACAAGAAGAAATGCAAACTGAAGACCGACCGAATGGCTGATTGAATCAAACCAGATCCTAACAGAGGATATCTGGACATTACAAAATGTCAAAATACATATATTTTTAATTTTTATTTTTAGAATTATTATTACTTTATTTTAAGTCACATCTATGTATATATTTATTTATTTATTTTTGTAGCATTGACAGAGCTGCTGCCTCTCAGTGAGAAGGTCGCCTTGGTTCAAATCCCAGCTGGGGATCTTTCTGGGTGGAGTTTGCATGTTCTCTCCATGCATGTGTGGGTTTTCTCCAGGTGCTCTGGTTTCCTCCCACAGACCAAAAACATGCATGTTAGGCTGATTGGTAACTCTAAATTGTCCCTAGGTGTGAGTGAGAGAGTGAATAGTTGTTTGTCTTGATGTGTCCCTGTGATGGACTGGAGACCTGTCCAGGGTGTCCCCGTCTCTCGCACAGTGACTGCTGGATATGGACACCAGTGACCCTCGTGACCCAAAAAGGAAGAAGCGGGTAAAAATAATGGATGAACGGATGAACTTCAAACTGTTTGACTGGGGTCAAATGTTTTGTGTTTTTTCCACAACCTTCTCACAATCGTTGACTGGAATGTTGCCTCATCCCTCCAGACGCAACTGGTGTAGCCGAGTCAGGTTTGTGGGCTGCCGTTTCAGCTCTGCTCACAACATTTCTGTGAGACTGAGAACAAGGCTTTGCGGTGGCCACTCCAAAAACACGACGGCAGGTGTAACTCTGCAGCAATCGGCACGTGGCTGACGTTTCCCCCTTTGAGGGTTTCCTCAGAACATTCAATCCTACCAGGAAAACAGGATTACTGGAGGTGTTTCACCCTGACTGCATGACTCCAGCAGCTAACAGGCTTACAGCATGGTGGGATTAGAAATGAAGGATTCCCCTGATATTTACTACTGAAAGGAACGGAAAGGGAGGCCGAGATGATAGGAGCAGAGTGGAGATTAAAGAAATAAAATGCCCCAAATCACATCGTTAGGGGCGTATAAAGAGATTTCACCAAGCTCTTACCCGTCTGTCGGAGGCCACCAGTCTGAACTCCTGCAGAAGTTTTCCAAAAATGGATCTTTGCGATTTCCTAAATGGATGAATTGTACCCTATAAAATAAAATAGAAGGAAAATGTCCAGTCTGAGTGACTTTTGGCATAAAACACTATTATTTATGCTTGTACTATTTAAAGCAAAAGTGTGCAGCAGAATAAAATACCTGCATAATTGTCAAGATTCACAGTGAGATTAATTCATTCAATAAAACCAGAATCTTTTGAGTTTTATTTCCTTACATTAATTCCTCATTTATACAATTTCAAGCTAAACAAAAAAAAAGTTTTGGTAAAATTAAAAAGGTCTCCACAATTTATTTTTCCTCTTTTATTTGATTTAAATTTATTTTTGTTGAATAATTGTTGTAAGTACTCTAGATGCTGTCTGTCTAAAACAGGTCTCTCTTGTAAATGAGTCCTCGTGACTCAATGAGACTCACCTGGATAAATAAACTTTGAATGAAACTAGGCCTTCTAGGGAATAAACTAGAGGTTCCGATTAGTGTAAAGTAAATAATTAAAAACAAATTCAACTTTGCTGTCTCTACATGACAACACACTAACGTCATAACTAGAGCCCGGCTGATATAATTGTAGGGCCGATATTTTAGGCTGATATAGGCGTTTGGGGACATTTCGGTATCAGTAATAATTGGCCCATGATGCACTGATATAAATACTTCTAATTTTCAACCCTAAAATGCTGGGAACGAAATATCCTTACTTGCAAATGGCGTAATTGTACAATGTATCCAGCAGGGGGCGCATAAAGATTACTTTCAGGTCATGGCCGTTCAGGTTGACTAACTTTCAGTACAGACAAAGCATCGAGCAATACAGTGTAGAGTATTTTGCTGAACAGAGCAGTTTATTTCAACAGATCTGTAAAATAAAATCAACAATAATTAATTTTATTCAATCCTCCAAGCTGCTTGACATTGCCTACATGTCTCTCAAGTTAGAAGGCTAACATTTAGATAACTTAGCATAGGCTGTTGCCTTGTAAAACTTTATCCAGATCAAATAAATCTAACATAGCGGTAAATATATATCAGTGTTAGTAACGTTATCTTTGTCGTCCTCAATGAAATGAATTGTTTGTCTATACATAAAAAAACCTGCTGTAGTCAGTACCAGATAGACTTTCATCATATGTGACTGTTTAAACAATGAACGGGGAAGGGTGTTTCTTTGTTCATTTTATATTTTTTGTAAAACACTTGATAACTTTATGGTGAATAATGGAGGACAGAAAATGTGAATGCACGTTCGGAAGACTGTTTCAAGACTTCAAGTGTTAAAACACTTGTTTACTTGAGATTCTTGGGGGTGGACAGAGCTCTGAAATTTTCAGTCATATATTAGTTATCAGCATCAGTCTTCCCCTCTCAGTAGCCAAAGTTTCCATGTCTGTTGGATTCTAGTCATAATAAATTAGCTCAAATGTTTTGATGTTTTTATGAAAAAATAAAATAATTATTATTTTGATACAGGCATAACAGGAATAAGTGAAAATGTGGGAAATGGCAGATATGTTAACTTGCATGAAGCACCTGAACGTTTTTATGCACATCTGTGACTGTATGGAAGAGCAGGAGGTAAAATTTGTCCAACACTGCCACCAACTGGTTTATATTGGAACAACATCAACATCAAAATAAGTCAGTTTCAATTCATTTAACATAACGTTATGATATACAGTAATATTGAAATACAATTATCCAAATTTGAGTTTTGGCTGTTTGTTTTTTTTTACACAAAAGATACTGTTTAAATATTAGAAAACACTAGAAGTGTTGCCATGAGTTGAAACTCATGTTTGGTGAAAACCTAGCATGAACATCCTGATGCATGCTCAATAATCCAGGTAGAAAAATCTAAAAAAGTTAAATCTGGTCCTGGTGCCGTAATGTATTTTTGGGTTGAAAAGCCACTGGGACGTTATGTTTAGAAAATAAACGTCTCAGTTTCTCTGATCAGAGAAATTCTAAAATTCTATCAGAGAAACTGAGACGTTTATTTTCTAAACATAACATCCCAGTGGCTTTTAAACCCCAAAATACATTACGGCAAAAACTGGTTCATCCCAAAGATCCAGTCCCCCGGCACAAACAGAGCAATGTTGTGTATGCTGTTCAGTGTCAGGAGGGCTGTGATCAGTCTTATATCGGGGAAACTAAACAGCCACTGGCCAAAAGGATGGCCCAGTACAGAAGATCAACATCATCAGGCCAGGACTCTGCGGTCTACACTCATCTCCAGGCCAGCGGTCACTCTGTCAGGGATGAAGATGTTCACATCCTGGATAGAGAGGAACGATGGTTTGAGAGAGGAGTAAAGGAGGCCATCTTTGTGAAAAGAAATCGTCCATCATTAAACAGGGGTGGAGGCCTCCGGGTTCAACTGTCCCCCTCTTACAATGCTGTTATTGCTAGTATCACTCAGCCCTCTGTGAGTAGTAAACAGCCATCAGTGTGCTAATGACCCATTGTTAGGCTGATGGTCCTTCTTGAGCATGTGAGCAGCTGGTTTTGGTTGTCAGCAGCAAACTGGTTGATCCACCCTGAGAAGGTGCTATTTAAGAGACTGAGCTGAATACAGCTCCTCAGACTGAGGAAGTCTCTCGGATGAGAGACAAAACGTTTCTACATTTTTTTTTGTTGTTTTGCTTTGTTTTTGTTTTTTTTAATGTCCAGAGGACCAGATTTAACTTTTTTAGAATAGCATGAACATATTTTTAACATTAATGGCCACACCAAGAAAAACACATTTTTATTTGAAGTAATATTTATATGCATAATAAAACAAATAATGTTTAACATTTTATTTTAAAAAATGTCTTAGTTTTTCCACTTTAATTCAGTCAAATTTGTGAACTGAGTGCACTCAGGTAAGTGGGTTTGAAATTTAATTTAACTTGAATTTAAGTTGTGGTGGTAGCTTTTTCACTACCACCACAAGAAAGACTCATGCATTACAAACATTTCAAATATTGATCTGCTTCGTGTCGTATTCTAAAATATTTTTGTCCTGAAATGCTGTTGGCACATTTCAACTTTTTACATATTATAGAGTTGATAAAATGAAAAGTGTGATCAGCTACTACAGCACTGGGACCCTGACCTGACGCTTGTGATCGACTTAGGACAACCCTTGTTGAAACAAAATTACAACGTTAGCATCTGTTCTGACATTATTTAAACTTTGTTCAAAATGTCTCTGAAAGTTCAGATGATACCTTTAATTTTGGGACATTCTGGTAAAACTATTAAAAGTTGCATTCTGTTTAAACCACAGCTTAAACTACTCTACAGAAAGCTGAATGTGATCCAAAAATATTTAAAGATAAATCTCCGAGCCTTTGTGTTAAAATGGGAAAACAAAACTAAAAAACTAAAATAAAAAAAATTTAAAAAAAAGATAAACTCACCAAGACAAAGGTGTCATGCTCATGTTTCTTTCTGTGCATAGAAACATCTGTGAAGAAAAAAACTACAGTTAGCAACAAAAAAGTTTAAATCGTGTCATCTGGACCAGTTTCTTTAAGTGACAAATGGTTCATCCCCCATCCAGAGGACTTCCTCAGTCTACGGCCTGCCAACCTCATCTGTCCCATAGGCAGCCTTCACTGCTGTTTCAAGCCAATCTCCTGTTGGAATCTCTAAAGTAGGTTTTTAACACGTGCAAAACAATCAGTCATCGTGTACAACAATCAAATATTTTAGGCCAGATGGCCAACTTGCTACTCACAAAAACAGCTGGAAGACAACCAAGGTCAAAGTGGTTCAGGAAAAGGTTTGTACGCTCATTCAGATAGACTACATGGATGATTGCGCTTAATTTTAGGGCTGCAACAACGAATCGATAAAATGGATAAAAATCGATGATTAAAAGCGTTGGCAACGAATTTCGTTATCGATTTGTTGTGTTGCGCGATTATGCGTCTTTCACAGCGCTGCGGAGCCGTTTCGTTTTGTTCACGGGCAGTTCATTGTCAATGTTGACTGATTGAATAAAGTTTGAAAAAAAAAACTGCAGTGCGAGTTGAACAGAGCGAGGGGGAGCAGAGCAGAGTGTTTTTAAAGAAAAATAAGTGCATTTTACAAAGGACCAACGCAGCGAAAACTGTTCGACCCAAGTCCTCCAAAAAGTGGGAGAACTTCACAAAGATAAAAAATGAGAAGCATGACGCTTTGAAAATCACCGACACGACACGTGAGAACCACGCTGATAAACGTAAACATGTCGGAGTCACGAGGAGGAGGAAGGAGCTGCAGCTGATACAACTCTTCATGTGTTGCAGGTGAGTCTCAATTTAACACATTGTTCTGTTTCCAAGAGAGAAAACGTAACGTCAGTCTCTCTGGTAGATGAAGCTGCTGTTTGTTTGTTTATCTGATTAATGGTGGTGATAGAGAACGTGTGTGTTACTTTTTATTTAATTTAATTGGTACAAGCAGTGTTTAAATGTGATTTATAAATAAATCGAACACAAAGATAATAATTTAATGATTAAGCTTCAACTTTTAATTTGCTGGCAAAGTCTGAAGACACTGCAGGTATGGCAGGATGAATTGCATTTAAACAGGAATTAAAGTAATTTATTACATCTACTCAAATGTGTGTAAAAAAGTATTTATATGTGTGTGTGTGTGTGTGTGTGTGTGTGTGTGTGTGTGTGTGTGTGT